TTCCTGTGACAGTGGTGGAGCCTTGTGCCTCCTTCACTGGAGGCATCCCCCTCCCCAGCTTCTGGAGAACACCCTCTTGGTCCTCACAGCCACACCCATCTTCTCATTGCAGTATGACGATGGCAGCGGTATGAAGCGAGAGGCCACTGCAGACGACCTCATCAAGGTTGTGGAGGAGCTAACTCGGATCCATTAGCCAAGGGCAGGGGGCCCCTTTTCTGACCCTCCTCAAAGGCTTTGCCCTGCTGCCCTCACCCTCTTCTCCACCATCGTCTTCTTGGCCATAGGAGGCCTTTCCCCAAGTCACCTGCCCCCAAAGCCACAGTTCCCCTACGTGGAAGTGGGGCAGGCTTCATAGAGACCTGGAATGAGCTGAAGGCGAAACATTTTCTCCCTGGATTTTTACCAGTCTCACATAATTCCAGCCATCACCTTGGACCACCAAGCCTTCATTGGTGTTGCCAGTTGTCCTCCTTCCAGGGAGGGATTTTGCAGTTCTTTGGCTGAAAGGAAGCTGTGTGTGTGTGGTTATGTGTGTGTGTGTGCTTGTGTGTGTGTGTGTGTGTATATCTCACACGCATTGTCCTCTATCTTTTATTTAGATTGGCGTTGTAGGGAGTTGTGGGTAGTGGGGAAGAGGATTGGGAGGGTTTCATTGTTTATAAAGTGTGAGACCTTCCTTTTACTTTTCTTCTGTTTCCTCTGAGAGCATCAGCCCTAGAGGCCTGGCTGCCAGGTCATGGCAGCCCGTGTATAAAACCTGGAGATGGTGGATGATCCCCATGCCACAGCCCTTTTGTCTCTGCAGACTGCCTTCTTCGGAAAGAAGGAGGTGGGAGGATGTGAATTGTTAGTTTCTGAGTTTTACTAAATAAAGTAGAATCTAAGAAGAAAAGTACATTTGTTTTGTTTTTAATTTCCCCAGCCCAGCTATCCAGCACCCCAGGTATACTATTCCTAATTTACTGCGAATTTAGGCAGTATCCTTCCCTTTATAGTAGGTGTTGCATTCACTTGCCCTTGCTGTTAGAACTCAAATAGTGAAAGTGAAGATATCTGTACCTCTTCTTGATCATGTGATTGTTTTTGATGGGATCCCAAGGATGATGGGCAGAGTTTAGAAATTCACTGGTCTTTTTGGTTGCCCGTGACGCCATTTAATTCTTAGTTGCTTCTGCCGGTAACCTGCTGGGCCTGGGGGTTGCCTGGGCGGCCTTTCCTGGTTTTATAGCCAGCTCTGTGTGCAGTATCCAGTCACCTAGCCCCCAGGTCACCTAGTAGCTCATGGATCTCCCAGCTGCTTTTCGCCACATGCCCTCATTTCCTCTGATCTAATCAAGTGACTGGTGGTTTTGGTTTGAGAATACAGCAAGAGTAGGGCACACACAGAGTTCAGTCTTCTGTCTGGCAAACAAAGCCTGTCTTTCAGCTTGGTGGGCCAGTGTCTGGGCCCACATTTCTCCTAGTGATCCAGTGGGAAGAAAGGCTGCTCTGTCCCCAGGGTGGAGTAGGGTCGATCCTAGGCATATTGGTGGCTCCTTTAAGACCAGCCTTTGATAGAGTGTCAGGAAAATTGTGGTTACAAGTTCAAATTGTGGTTTTGAGAGATTCTAGCTTAAAAAGAGCAAAGAAGCATCCCTGATTTGAGGGTCTTCTAGAGGAAGTTTCCTTCCCTGAAGAATGTTTTATTACCCTTTTTTCCCACTTTACTCTTCTGAGAGGTCTGGGGGTGGAGGATAAGAGTCTTAAAAAATAATCAGCATCTCAAAAACCACAGTTTGAACTGGAAACCCAACACTGATTTGAATTCTAGAAGTCGGTTTGAATTTGAAAAGACCTGCCCGCCTGGCAGAGGCCAGCTTTAATGAGGCAGGCAAGCAACAGTCTCCAGATTGTGATTACTTAAAAAATTTAATCCTAGATGGGAGCACCAGCTGTAAGATGTCATGATCAGAAAGACAGAATATGTTGGGATTCTCATTCTGGTGCCCTTTAGTGGCCTGACTAGCGGCTGAGACCTGCTGTTGAGACTTCGGTCTTGAATTTGGAAGCTTGTGGAGTCCTTTCTATCTTTTGCTGTTTTTTGTTTTGTACACTCTTGTGTATATTCACTTGGGGTTGAATTCCAACTTTGGAAACTGATATTCTGTTGTCATATTCCCACATCCCCTCTTAAAAACCATTAATCACCTCTCGGGGGGTGAAAGGTCTTTGGAGCGTGGCTGTAGCCAGCTGCAACAGCTTCATTCCTTGTAGGTGCTGATGAGCTAGCATCATTCCAGGTCTCTGCAGGAAGGGATCTTTGGGAGAATAATAGAAACACTGACTCATCACACGACCATTTAGGGGGATCACAAGCCAGAGGCTGTCATTCTGCAGCCAACAACTTGGATCCTCCACCCTTGGTGGAGGGTCCCTGTTGTTACTGAGAAACCACAAGCCACAGAAGTGGGGAAGAAACACAGAAACTGCAATCAAGGGGTATGCCTGAACTAGTCCTTGAACATGAAGTTAGAGACTCCGTGTCCAAACTGAGAAGCCTCAGGGTCAAACAGAAAGACAAGAAAAACAAAAACCAAACCAAACTAAAGGAGCAAATGTTGATAGGCGAAAGGCGAATGCCATAAGGTCACAGAAGTTTTATGGGGAAATCAAAGAAATGCTAAGGGCAGTGTAGACGTTTGGAGATTCACTAATGGGAATTGGAATATATGTACTAAGTATCCTGAATTCTGTTGGGTAGATACAGGATTTCTTCAAGCACAAAGTTGATCTTGGCTCTTCCAGCTGCTCATTGGCCAATATGAAGCAAACTCTGCTGGAGAGTCAGTTTTATAGGGTAAGGTGGAGCGGGTGGGCCTCCATAATGTAGCTAAGAACAGAGGTGGCTGAGGTATGCTGGAGTATGTGAGAAGATGGCATGAAATATGACAGCCATGTGGACACTTGTCCCGCGTACACCTGTTGAAAATTTTGGGTAGCTGCCCTAGGGTCAGGAAGAAAGAGCACCTATTTGACATCAGTGGTTTAGTGGTGGTGGACAGGGAAAGTGCAACCTTCAGATGTTTGGGGCAAGAGAGAAATATGTCGTAGGATTCTGAGGGTCCTTGGGACTCACAATGGATATGACGGAAGTCATGTTCATCTTATGTTACAGAATATTTTGGCAACCTACTTGTTGAGAATATGTTGACTAGTGTGGGAGGTAAACCCCGCAAGAGCCAGGGCAAGGGTCTGAAGCCTCAGCATTAGAGATATAGTTACATCGTTATTCCTATATATATAAAATCATAATCATATAGCTATTCATATGTAATCATAAATATATACATCTATATAATCATACGATCTTTAATCTTACTAATAAGTCTCAGGGTAAGAAGTATAAGACTGAAGTGGCATTGGAAAAGAGGTGACCCTAAGGCAAGATACTCTAAGTCATCTGTCACACCCGCATAAGGACTGCTGGAGGACACCTTGGTTGTGTGACAGTGTCAGCGCTGTGAAAGCGCCTGCTGTTTAGCCAGCTAGGGAAGGAAATGTCCAAGATGGCCGAGACGTCTCCTTCCTCTGGGGAGTGAGGAGAAAACTCCACTCTTCCAAGTGTAGTAAGCCTGACGGCTGTCAGGGACACCCACAGACATCCGGGGACTTAATTGTCTCTATGTGGTGCTGTGCTTCAGCGGTCACGTTCCATGTCTACTTTCAAGTTCTGCTTCTGCACCTGGTTCCTCTTTTTCTTAGAAGATAAGAATTAGTAATAGTAACATAAATCTTAGTGACCTTGTTCTTTCTTGACAAGGATGAGAAAAGTGCTGACGCCTTAGGTTTTCTCCTTGCCTTGGCTTCTTCAAAGTCTTGGGCCCCTGTCTCCAAGGCATGTGATTTACTTGACCCTATCACTGGCCACCATTACCTCATCCTACCTACCATGCCCCCTGCTTTGTACTCAATAAAAGTCAGGGCATCTAGACGCTCGGGCCACTGCTGGTTTCTGTGATTTGGTAACAGTGGACCCCTGGGCCCAAACTCTCTTTTCTCGTCTCTGTGTCTTGTGTCTTTTATCTCCGCAGTTTCTCATCTCCACACCTGCAGAGAGGGACTCATGGGACCCTGCAGGGCTGGAACCTACAGAGTGGATTAAAAAATGGGCCAAAACTAACAAGGCGAAATACGGCCTCAAGGTGAATGTCTGCCAAAATGTAGCCACACAGCTTCAGGTAGGAAGACCCACTTGGCTGCTTGTGTTTAAATAACATAAAGGCACAACAAAAAATGCCTGCGGTTTTTCTTTATTGCCTACTCAGTGTGTCATCATTAACAACATCATTAGGTTGACAAAAAAGTAATATTAGAGTGCATTAGTGAAAGTACAGTGTTTGCAGGAAGGAGGCATGAGTCCAGGCCACCCCTGGTACTCCATGTCCATATGTGGCCACCAATTTAAGCAGCTCAGTAACAGGCTGAGGAAGCAGGAGGTCAAAGGTAGTGGCAGAACCAAAGGAACTGGGATTGTTCCGCTGGGAAGTGAAGGCACTTTCAAAGAAATGTGGTTCAAAACTGGATCGGACCACTTCTTAACAGGTAGTTTCTTACCCCTGGAAGTATTTATGCAAAATCTTGGCTAATTGTGGGTGGTTAAGGGAAAGATTACTGCACAGAGCAGAAGGTAAAATCAGTTATCCTTTCAGTTTTCTCCCAGCGGGATCATTCTGATTTCCACGCGCCCCTTCAGGCGCCCCTTCCTTGCCTAAATCCCTCCGCAGCCCTCTAGTCTGACTGCAGCCTGGGGCAGCTGCAGAAGGGGAAAAGAGGAGCTTTCCAGATCTGTTTCTGCCTCTCCACTGCCAATGGCGCCAGCTGCTCCCTCGCTTCGCCACCAGCAGCCGGGAGGCCGGCCATCTGCCCCATGGGTGCCCAAAGGAGCCCCGGGCTTCAAGAGCAGCTAGTGCCCCTGGCCAGGGAGCGGTTGGACACAGATCAACGCACTCGGCGTTGGGGTGAGACCTGCTGGCAGCCCGGGGGCAGGCCTGGAACTGCCCAGTGGCGCAGCGACCGGGCGTCCTGGGTTCGGATTTCCACGGTTCCCACCTCCTGACAACAAGGCGGGTCCCACCGAGAGGGGCCATGCCCTGGGCGCGCAGCCTTTGGCGCTAGCCTTGTTCTCGAAATCTGTTTCCTCCTGGGGCCTCGGTCAGACGCTCTCAGTCAGCGCTTAGCAGGAAGCCGACTCCCAAACCCGGGCAGGGGGTGTGAGCCAAGCGCGAAACCCCGCCTCTAGGGGTCCCTGATCTTTGCCCCCGCCCGGGACTCGGTGCCTCGCGGAGAGGCACAGCGGGCGAGCGGCATTGCCTTTGTGTGTTTCGCCTGGAGGTGCCGGAGACCCTCCCCACAGCCGTCCGCCGCGTCCCCTCGCGGCCCCCGGCCCCTCCTCTTCGCGGCCTCAGCCCCCCTGCTTAGCTCCGCGTGCCAGTTCGGGGATCGTTGGTTAGCTCCCTGCGGCACCAGGAGGAGGGGCGAGGGCCTGCCGCCCTCTCCTCGGCACGCGGCGCCGGAGCCGAGCCCAGCCCGGGGGAACCGCCGCCGCCGATGATGTGGGCCAGACTGCTCCTTCGGGCCGCCTGTGTCGCGCTCCTGCTGCCGGGGCCCCCGGCCCGAGGCTACACTGGGAGGAAGCCACCCGGGCACTTCGCGGCCGAGAGGTAAGTGCCCCGAGCTTTTACCCTCCCGTCGCCCTCACCCCTCGGGAGCGCTACCGGTGTGCAGCCGAAAGGCGTGGAGGGGCGCCCAGGAGCCGCAGGCAGCTGCGGGTCCGGGCTACCTCCGGGGTGCTATCCGCGCGGGGGCAGCTCTGGGACGGGCCAAAGAGACAGCAACTTGCGCCTCTCGGCGGGTGCCCATCGTGCACACCTGGCTGGGGCTCTCCCGGCTGGGACCTAGGGGAACGGAGGTCCAGGCGCTGGGTGACTCCTAATGTGCCCAGGAGCACGGACCCCTGGAGAGGGGAGCCCCGGACGTGTCTTCTGTTCTCCGGACTGACTGGCTTGCCCCTCAGCGTGCCCGTGACTCTGCCTGGGCAGCGCCAGGCCTCCACCGCCGCGCCGGCAGCCCTAGGGGTGGGAGTTTTCCCTGGGTCCTGGCCCTACGAACGTCGTGGACTTTGGAACCGCTGGGGTCTCTGGGTCACCTTTCTTTTTCTGTCCGTGCGTGCGCGCAGGTGGGGGTGGGGTGCCTGCTCGAGCACTGCGCTGTCTTTCGCGTTGGATGCCGCCCTCCGCACGTGCTTTTCCCTCGGTCGCTGCTGGGCCGTGTGCTTGTGTGCAAGATGCTCGGAGCAAGGGAACACCGTGTCAGCGGGCGGCCTGGTCCTCGGCCACATCCTCCGGGGGCGCGCAGTGGGGGCGGCTGGGCCAGGCTTGCAGCTCGCACGTGTGTTCCACAGCCATCGCCAGTTCCTGCTCGGATACGGCCCCAGCTCCGCGGCGTTCCACAGGGTCCCGCCACCTGTCTCTCGGTCACAACCAGCCCTAGGAGGCTCCTTGGGGCGCTCTGGCGGGTGCTTGGCCCTTGTCCACTTCAGAGTTTGACTCCACTAGCCCCCTTGGGCACCCTTTTATCTGCCGCCTTGGTGGCACTGCCCGTCCTTTTCTGAGAGTCCCAAGGCTCCGCTCATTCGCCCGGTTCCCTCCTTCTCAGACTGCTGCCATAATCACTCCAGCAAGGGGGTGGGTGAGACTTCGCTGCCAGCTCCCGCCAGCAGGAGGTCCCCCCTCTTCTGTGATGATGTCAGAGAGGGAAAAAGTCCCCAGGGACAGCTTTCCTCAGACGTTTCTGTGCTGCCGTGGCGCCCTGAGCTTCCCTTTCCGGAATACTTGTCACATTTGGCACAGATTCTTCTCCCCAAGAACACGATAAGTTTGCCTTGTCCCATGTCCCCAGTGCCTGGTGCGGTGCCCAGCGCAGAGTGGGTGCTCTACAAAGTGCCTGCCTGGCAGAGTCATCTTCCCTCAGCTCTGAACACAGGTGGACCACCGTTGGGAAAGGGTTTGTTGTCCCTTTTCTGTTACAGTGGGATTCGAAGCTCAAACCAGCCTGGATTTCATCACCCTCTGCCCAGTCCGTAACTGGAGCTGGCTGCAGTAGTCCTCTCTGTCCCCCTCCAGGCCTGCAGTTGTGCTGTTCCCCCTGCTGGAGCACCCTCTTCCTTCCTCTTCTTTTACTGTCTCATTTTTTTTTTTTTTTTTTTTTAGATAGAATCGTACTGTCACCCAGGCTGGAGTGCAGTGGTACGATCTTGGTTCACTGCAGCCTCTGCCTTCTGGGTTCAAGCGATTCTCATGCCTCAGCCTCTTAAGAAGATGGGACTATAGGCATGTGCCACCACACCTGGCCATTTTTTTTTTTTTTTTTTTTTTTTTTTTAGTGGAGACGGGGTTTTGCCATGTTGGACAGGCTGGTCTTAAACTCTTGACTTCAAGTGATCCGCCTGCCTTGGCCTCCCAAAGTTTTCTCTCTCACCTCAGCCTAGATGCTGCCCCTCCAGGAAACCCCCTGACACTCTTCAGGGCTCCATAGCCCTTCCCATTGTGGCACTTGTCAGTCTATGCTGTTGTCACCTGGCTCCTGGTCTGCCCTACGTTCCTTGAAGGTGGGGGCAGCAGCTTGTTTATAGCTGTACGGTCATGCCTCACTCAGCACCCAGAACCAGTTGGATGCATCTGGTTTCCCACCCTTTTTGGACCTCATTCTTGGTTGAACAGACTCCCCACTGCCTCCAGTATTGGGCAGCTCACTGATGAGCCCACACCCACCCCAGATATATCACCTATGCCAGTGCCCGTCTCAGCTTCTCCCTCAGCAGCCATTTATTGAGCACGTACTATATGCCAGGCATCACTCTATGTGCTGGGGTGACTAGATAAGAAACCCTTGTCATCAGGGAGTTGTAGGGGAGACAATGAATTAATAAATTAAAAACTCATCTCATGTCCCCGGAAGTAAAAGTTATAGAGAAGAATGAAGCAAGGTTATGGTGGACAAGGAAGGCCTCTCTGAGAGGGTGCTGTGGGCAGAGACCTGGGTGAAGGGAGAAAGGGAGCCCAGTGTGTGTCTGAGGAAGAATCTTTCTTTTTCCTTTTCCCTTCCGGCTCCTTTTTTTTTTTTTTTTGAGACGGTTTGGCTGTGTCATCTAGGCTGGAATGCAGTGGCACCAATGTGGCTCACTGCAGCCTCTATTTCCTGGGCTCAAGCCATCCCCCCACCTCAGCTTTCTGAGTAGCTGAGCCTACAGGTGTGCGAGTCACCATGCCCAGCTAGTCTTTGTGTTTTTTTGTTTGTTTGCTCTTTGTTTTTTTTTTTAGACAGAGTCTCACTCTGTCACCCATGCTGGAGTGCAGTGGCAGGATCTTGGCTCACTGCAACCTCCACCTCCCAGGTCCAAGCGATTGTCCTGCCTCAGCCTCCTGAGTAGCTGGGATTACGGGCACACATCACCACACCTGGCAGTAGAGACGGAGTTTCACCATGTTGGCCAGGCTGGTCTTGAACTCCTGACCTTGTGATTCACCCATCTCAACCTCCCAAAGTGTTGGAATTACAGGTGTGAGCCACCACGCCTGGCCTCTTTGTGTTTTTAGTAGAGACGAGGTTTCACCATGTTGCCCAGGCTGGCCTCGAATTCCTGGGCTGAAAGTGATTAGCCTGCCCTGGCTTCTCAAAGTGCTGGGATTATAGGTATGAGCCACTACACCTGACCATAAGAACCTTTATGATAGCAAGAACTGCAAGTGCAAAGGTCCTGAGGCAGCTACCCTTGGGGCTCCTCGTCCATTGCTCAGCCTTTCTTCAGCTCTGAGGCCCCTCTTCTGGCCACTCTGCTGTGTGCTCATGTGGCAGACAGTCTGTAGGAGGCCAGAATCTGTTATCTCACACTTTTGTCTCTGTCTTGCCTCCAGGAGAGACTGTCTGGGTCATTTTTCTTTGGAAACTTCCCATTGTCCCTCCAGACAGTTCTCTAGAACTGGTTGTTGATTGACTTACAGTCTGGCTGGGAGACTTTCCTGTTGAGCAATGTCTCCCCCAGTATAGAATGAGGAAAGTGCTTTCTCTTCTCTTGCAGACACCGGCTGGGCCCCCACGTCTGCTTCTCTGGGTTCGGGAGTGGCTGCTGCCCTGGCTGGGCGCCCTCTATGGGTAGTGGGCACTGCACCGTGCGTAAGTGCTTGTCCCTGGGCCCCGAGCCTTCTCCTCCAGCAGTGTGTGTACCTGGTCCAAGGGGCAGACGGGGGGCCCCAGTCCCTCGTCTCTCACCTGCGTTTCTCCTCTCAGCCCTCTGCTCCTTTGGTTGTGGGAGTGGCATCTGCATTGCTCCCAACGTCTGCTCCTGCCAGGATGGAGAGCAAGGGGTCACCTGCCCAGGTAATTGGGGATGGGTGGTGGCTGCTGGGAACAGATGAGTCAGCATCGAGGTTATGTGCTGGGCAAAAGGCATCTGAGATGTGTCCTGGCATCTCATCTTCAGACAACTCTTTTAGGTAGACATTGTGTGCCCATTTTATAGATGAGGAAACTGAGGCACAGAAGTAATTGCCTTGCCCAGGGCCACACAGCTGGTAAATGGCAGAGCTGGATTTAAACCCAGGCCTGTTTGCCTTCAGAGCTACCCTCCCAACAGATTTCAGGAGCACGCTGGTGAGGTGGGGGTGGCTGGGACTGCACGGGGCGCATGCTCACTGCTGCGATGACTGTTCTAGAAAGTCCCGGACCATGTGGGGAGTATGGCTGTGACCTTACCTGCAACCATGGCGGCTGTCAGGAGGTGGCCCGAGTGTGCCCCGTGGGCTTCTTGATGACAGAGACAGCTGTTGGCGTCAGGTGTACAGGTGAGACGCCTGGGAGTGGTGGGGGGGGGGGAGAGTGGGAATTCTGTCTCCTCCCCCTCCTGCCAGGATGGTCTCCAGTGTATTGCAAGAGCTGAGCTGAGCTAAGATAGGCTGTGATGTTTGAGAGTGGGCAGAGAGACACGAAAACAAAAGAAATGTGTCACTTCTGTTATTTCACAAATATGTATTGAGCACCTCTTACGGGCAGGAACCGAGCTAGGGACTGGGGTTACGGGAGCCACAGTCGGCCCTTGTTAGGGAGGTTTTCTTGTTTGTTTTTTTGAGATGGAGTTTCACTCTTTTGCCCAGGCTGGAGTGAAGTGGCAGGATCACGGCTCACTGCAACCTCCAACTCCTGGGTTCCAGCGATTTTCCTGCCTCAGCCTCTGGGATTATAGGCGCATGCCACCATACCTGACTAATTTTTTTATTTTTAGTAGAGATGGGCTTTTGCTGTGGCGGCCAGGGTAGTCTCGAACTCCTGACCTCAGGTAATCCACCCACCTCGGCCTCCCAAAGTGCTGGGGTTACAGGCGTGAGCCACCTCACCCAGCCCCTGTTAGGGAGTTCTGAATATGAGGAAGGGTGACAAGTAACGGGACAAGAATAGCCCAATTGTCATAGGGATCTTAACTGGGAAGGGCAAGGTGCCAGGGCCCACAGAGGGGCAGGGCACCCGGAATCGGGAGGGTTGGCCAGGGGAGGCTCCTTGGGAAAATGACATTTGAAAGATGAAGGAAGCTAAATTCGATAATGTATTGTTTGTGATTTTTTTTTTTTTTTTTTTGAGGCAGAGTCTTGCTTTGTTGCCCAGGCTGGAGTGCAGTGGCATGGTCTTGGCTGACTGCAACCTCTGCCGCCTGGGTGCAAGCGATTCTCCTACCTCAGCCTCCCAAGTAGCTGGGACTACAGGTGCCCACCACTGCACTTGGCTAATTTTTATATTTTTAGTAGAGAGGGAGTTCAGCATCTTGGCCAGGCTGGTCTTGAACTCCTGACCTAGTGATCCACCTGCCTCAGCCTCTCAAAATCTTGGGATTACAGGTGTGAGCCACCACGCCCGGCCTGTTTGTGATTTTTAAAAGATTTCTACAGACAAAATCTGTTACCTTCCCCAGAAGCAGCCACTGTGACCAGTTTCTTGTCAATCTTTCCTGAGTGACAACAGCCTTTTTGAAGTTTTAATTTTGTAAAAATAATATTTATCCCCCTGAATAGAAAAGCAAGAGATAGTTCACTGTGGAATGTTTGGAAAGTAAGAGGAGAAAGATGAAAAGAAACATTCTCTGGAAGTCTCCACCTGGAGATCTTCGTTACCAAAAGGAAGTTGTTTTCCCCCCTTTTCCCTGGGTGTGTATGTGTTTGTGAGTGTGTACGTACGTCAGGCATGCATATATGTATGCTTTATAAAATTGGGATTATATCTTATCTGTAGTTATTATTTTTCCCATCTAATTTTATATTGTAAACATCACTAACAATTCCTTGCAACATTTTATATTTTATTTTATTTTATTTTTGCGAGGCTTGGTGGCTCATGCCTGTAACCCCAGCACTCTGGGAGGCTGAGGCGGGTGGATTACTTGAGCTCATGAGTTTGAGACCAGCCTGGCCAACATGGTGAAACTCTGTCTCTACTAAAAATACAAAAGCTAGCTTGTGTGACGGTGCATGCCTGTAATCCCAGCTACTCAGGAGGCTGAGGTAGAATTGCATGAACCCAGGAGGTGGAGGTAGCAGTGAGCCGAGATCGTGCCACTGCACTCCAGCCTGGGTGACAGGGCAAGACTCCGTCTCAAACAAAAAAAAAAATGTTTTTTTTTAGCAGTTACATATGTGACTGCTGTAACTGAAATAACTATTCAGAGGTCTGCAGTGTCTCACCACTATAAATAATGCCGCCATAAAGAAAAGGGGCTTCCTTTTTCAGAGTCACCGTCTCTGATGATTTCCCAGAAGGACGCTGTTGAGTCGGAGGGTCTCACTAAAGGCGTCTGGGAGTTTGTTGCTTGTTGCAGCATCAAGCTTCATCCTCCAGAAAGGAGAAGCAATGTAAGCCATTGATCTGCTCCTGAATGCCTTTCACCTTGGGATATTTTCTGCACATACTTCTCATTGCAGAGGCAAACAGAACCAAGGAGAAGCCAGAGAACAGTGTCAAAGCACTTGCAGGACAGGGTGGCACTGACTGTAGCCACGAGACATCCCAGTGGAATGGAGTTAGTCAGGGTGGGCTTCCTAGCGGCACTGAGAATAGTCTCGACTGTCCGGCTGTTGGGAAGAGTGAGTAGATGCTGGGTAGAAGGCTAAGTAGGGGATAAGGAGAGTAGAGGTGTCCCATGAGCTTGGGGACTCAGCAGGGAGACTCACTACGCAGCGAGTGCAGACGAGTAGACTGAGCTGCGCCCAAAGGTCCTCAGAAGCTGCCACGGATCTTTGGTGGGGAAGGGAGGCCAGGCAGATCCCATCACCCCTCAGATCTCACTAGGCTCGCCTTCCTGAAGCACTACTTGGATCCTGCTTAGATCCAGTCACTGCAACTTAGTTTCATCTTTTTCTTTTTTTTGAGATGGAGTCTGGCACTGTTGCCCAGCTGGAGTGCAGTGGCGCGATCTTGGCTCACTGCAACCTCCGCCTCCCTGGTTCAAGCGATTCTCCTGCCTCAGCCTCCTGAGTAGCTGGGATTATTGGCATGTGCCACCACGCCTAGCTAATTTTTGTCTTTTTAGTAGAGATGGGGATTCACCATGTTGGCCAGAATGGTCTCGATCTCCTGACCTCGTGTACTACCTCACCCAGCCTTAGTCTCATCTTAATCCACATCTTCAGCCCTGTCTCCTGCTGCTTCGGAAGGAACTGAAGCTTCAGCCAGTCTGGGCCTCAGTATAGCCCTCATGGAGCCCAGCTGCTGCCTGGAAGCACCTCAGACCCTTTCTCCACCTGGGAAGGCTCTCCGCTGATACTCTGGTCCTCTTAACCACTGCCTATTCCAGGGCATGCCTGCTGGGGCCAATCTGTCCCTAGTGGGGCATATATCACCGCAGCAGGCACTGGCATCCCCTGGGCGTGTGTCTTGGCTCCTGTGTTATCAGTCCATGAACATCTGGAGTTAGCGCTGTGTCTTAGTCACATTTGTGTCCTCAACAGCCCCGCTCTGGGTCTGCTGCACGCAGCTGGTGCTTAAGGAACCTTTAAAAGAATGACTTTGTTGATTATTTTATTTTTATTTTACTTTTTTGAGACTGAGTCTTGCTCTATCACCCAGGCTGGAGTGCAGTGGCATGATCTCAGCTCATTGCAACCTTGGCCTCCAAGGTTCAAGCCATTCTCCTGCCTGAGCCTCTCGAGTAGCTGGAATTACAGGCATGTGCCACCACACTCAGCTAATTTTTGTATTTTTAGTAGAGACAGGGTTTCACCATGTTGTCCAGGCTGGTCTCAAACTCCTGACCTCAGGTGAGCCGCCTGCCTCCGCCTCCTAAAGTGTTGGGATTACAGGCATGAGCCACCACACCCAACCTCCCTATCCACTGCCCTCTGTCCTTTTGAGGGCCCTTTGGGGTTGCCCTGCCATCGGGGCCATTGGAAACAGTTCTGTCTCAGCTGTCTTCTCTCATCGTCTGGTCTTCATGGGTTAAAGGGGGCCCCAGTCCCTTGGATTCTTCTTGTGGTTTCCTCACAGCCAGTGACCTTCCTGGTGTCTGCTCTTCCTGGGGTGCAGGTGGGGATTCCACGCTGCTGAGGGCAGGCTTGATGTGGGCTCAGGGTCCTTGTGAGGTTGATTTGTTCCTGAGTCACAGCCACGCTCAGAGCAGGCGGTGCAAGGGTGTCTTTCTTTCTTTCTTTCTTTTTGAGATGGAGTTTCATTCTTGTTGCCCAGGCTGGAGTCTAATGGTACAATCTCGGCTCACTGCACTCTGCCTCCCAGGTTCAAGCAATTCTCCTGCCTCAGCCTCCTGAGTAGCTGGGATTACAGGCATGCACCACCAGGCCCGGCTAATTTTGTATTTTTAGTAGAGATGGGGTTTCACCATGTTGGTCAGGCTGGTCTTGAACTCCTGACCTCAGGTGATCCGCCTGCCTCGGCCTCCCAAAGTCCTGGGATTTATAGGCTTGAGCCACCACGCCTGACCTGGATGCTTTCTTTCCCAGACATTGATGAATGTGTAAGCTCCTCTTTGAGGACCACTGTGAGCACACCTGCCTTCTCTCTTTCCAGACATTGATGAATGTGTAAGCTCCTCTTGCGAGGGCCACTGTGTGAACACGGAAGGCGGGTATGTGTGTGAGTGTGGGCCTGGCATGCAGCTGTCTGCCAACCGACACAGCTGCCAAGGTGAGCTGCAGGGAAGGGACAGCCGCTCTGGGAGGGGTAATGGGGATGCCACATTGAACGCTCGGCCCTGCCATGACCAGCACAGTGCTCTGTGCGCCGCTGCAATGAACCTTCACCACCTTCTTCTGAAGGAGATGCTGCTATGGTTCCTGTTTGACTGATACGGAGACTGAGGCTTACCTAAGGCCAAGTCGTTAGTGAGAGATGGAGTCATGTCTAACAGTTGGGACCAACTGCAGCTGGCCCGGCGGGGTGGCTCACATCTCTAATCCCTGCACTTTGGGAGGCCAAGGCGGGAGGATCACCTGAGGTCAGGAGTTCGAGACCAGCCTGGCCAACATGGTGAAACCTCATTTCTACTAGAAGCATAAAAATTCGTCATGTGTGGTGGCGGGTGCCTGTAGTCCCAGCTGCTCGGGAGGCTGAGGGAGGAGAATTGCTTGAACCAAGGAGGCGGAGGTTGCAGTGAACCAAGATCTCGCCACTGCACTCCGGCCTGGGCGACAGAGTGAGACTCCGTCTCAGAAAACAACCTACTGCTGCTGCTGTGGGATAAAAGGGATGGCAATGGAGGAGAGGCCGTGGGGAGAGCCAGGGCAGAGCAGGCCGACCAACCTGGGGAATAAGGCCACTGAGGTGAGGGAGGGCTGTGCGAGACTCAGGCTGTGAGTCCAGAGGGGCCATGGGAGGGGCATACCGGGATGGGCTCATTCACTCACTTCATTCATCAGTTTTACCTGCCAGTGCTGGCCCAGGCTCCGAGCTACCCTGGGGAGCAGTATCCCCCAAGTCTGGTGGGGAGCAGAAGAACAAGGCTAGGAGAAGGGATGTGTTGGGGAAGCTCAGGGAAGAGAAGGAGTCCTACCTATTCAGTTTGCAGAATGAGAGATCTTTTACAATTATTACTCATTCTTTTAACCTGTAAATAAATGGCATTTTAATTTAAAAAATGCCATTTATTTACAGGTTATGGAAGGAAACAATCTCACAAGGCAGATAATTGTGAGCTCCACCTGAATCCTACATTATTATTTTCTTTGTGTTTGAAATTTTCATAAATTATAAGAAAAATTTTAAAAGTCAAGGTGTTTGCCCTGGCCCTCTCTCCCAGTGCTGCCCTCTGCTCTCCCTGGAGAATAACCCAGCTGTCTTAGTCTGCTTGAGCTGCCATCACAAAATTCTGGGGGCTTGTACCACAGACATTGATTCTCATAGCTCTGGAGGCTGCAAAGTCCAAGACTAAGGTGCCAGCTAATTCAGTTTCTGGTGACAGCTCTTCCTGGCTTGCAGAAGGCAGTCATCTTGCTGTTTCCTCAGTTGGTGGAGACAGAGCTCTCTGATATATATATTTTTCTCTTTGCATGGAGTCTCCCTGTGTTGCCCAGGTTGGAGTTATAGTGATGCGATTTCAGTTCGCTGCAACCTCCGCCTTCTGGGTTCAAGCGATTCTCCCACCCTCCCGAGTAGCTAGGGTTATAGGTGTGTGCCACCACGCCCAGCTAATTTTTGCATTTTTAGTAGAGATGGGGCTTTCACCATGTTAACCAGGCTGGTCTCGAACTCCTGACCTCAAATGCTTTGCCTGCCTTGGCCTCCCAAAGTGCTGGGATTACAGGCGTGAGCCACTGACCAGGCCTCTCATGATTCTTCTTACAAGGGTACTAATCCCATCGAGAGGGCCCGCCCTCATGACCTCATATAACCCTAATTATCTTCCAAAGGCACCACCGCCACATGCCATTACGTTGGTAGTTAAGGCTTCAACGCCCTTTTTGAGGGGACAGAGTTTAGTCCACAGCACTCAGGTATTGGTCTGCTGTGTGCCCTAACTGCCCGTCCCTATGTGTATATACATACACGGGCGCTTACAGAGATATGACAGTTGCTGAACTCTCCGTTCCTGAATCCTGGGTTAAGCACTTTACATGAATTTTCTCCTTTAGCCTTCAAAATTACCTGGTGAAGTTGGTATCATTTATCTCGATTTTATTAATAGGAACGCTGAAGCTTAATGAAATTGTTACTTGCTTAAGATCACATTAGAGCTAAGGTGTTTTTTTTTTTTTTTTTTTTTTTTCGTAGAGTTCTTGCTGTATTGCCCAGGCTGGTCTCAAATTCCTGGCCTTAAGCTATCCTTCCCCTTTTGCCCCCCAAAGGGCTGGGATTCCAGGAATGAGCCACTGCGCCCAGCCAGAGTTGGGATTTAAACTTAGCCATTCCTTTGCTTGCTTCCCACACCCCCGCCCAATGCTGGTCTTGAAGATCTTTCCACATCAGGGTAAACAGACCTGCTTTGTTCCTTTTAACTGCTGACTCTGCAGTGCAAATATTTTACAGTTTACTAACTCTTCTCTTATTGATGAACATGGGAGATTATTTCCAGTTTTTCACAATTTCAAATAGCACTGGGGAACTTCTACAGAGGAGGTTCGACTGAAGCTGAGTTTTGAAGTATGAGTAGGAGTTTTCCAGCCAGACAAGAGGGAAAGGCATTCCAGGCAGAGAGAGAACATGGGAAAAGGGGAACACCAGAAGAGTGTGGTGCATTTGGTAGATGGCAAGAATTTAAGCCTGTGGCCAGGTGCAGTGGCTCACGCCTAATCCCAGCACTTTGGGAGGCCAAAGCGAGTGGATCACCTGAGGTAAGGAGTTTGAGACCAACCTGACCTACATGGCGAAACCCCAACTCTACTGAAAATATAAAATTAGCCAGGTGTGGTGGTGCATGCCTGCAATCCCAGCTACTTGGGAGGCTGAGGCAGGAGAATTGCTTGAACCCCAGGAGGTGGAGGTTGCAGTGAGCTGAGATCGCGCCATTATACTCCAGCCTGGGCAAAAAAAGAGAAATTCCATCTCAAAAAACAACAACAAAAAAGAATTTAAGCCAAATGAAGGTCAGGGGCAAGGAAGGGGGTGGGCAAAGCAACCAGGGCTATGTTGGAAGGCATCGTGAGCTACAGGGCGGCTTTGGTGTCATACCCTAAGATGAGGTCTGTGGCAGTAGGAGCAGTGGAGAGGTTTTGAGCAGGGAGCGCCCTGATTAGAAATGCCCTTTGGTCAGAACATACTGGAGGCTGTGCAGAGATGGCTTGAAGGAATCCAGGTAGAGGTAGGGAGACACACCAGAGGCTGTGGCTATTCTCCAGACTAGAGATGTATGTGACCAGCTAAGGGGTAGCAGTGAGGATGAGAGAAGTGGGCTGGCCCAGCGACTATTTAGGACTGCATGTGGGCAGTGCAGAAGAGAGGCAGCTAAGGTGGTTCCCCAGCCCTGTGCGGGATAGGAGAGGGAGATGAGGGAGGAAGAGGGGACCACATATTTCCAAACCTCTGTTGGGGAAATGAATCCCAGTCTTGTCCCTTTTCCTGCCAGACACTGACGAATGCCTAGGGACTCCCTGTCAGCAGAGATGTAAAAACAGCATTGGCAGCTACAAGTGTTCCTGTCTAACAGGCTTCCACCTCCATGGCAACCAGCACTCCTGTGTAGGTAAGGCGGGGAGAACCCTGTGGTCTGCGCACTTCGGCTGCCAATCAGGAAGATGGACAGGGAGCCCAGGGACCCGGGAAGGTTAACAATTGGACCTTCTGGTCCTCTGAGCCTTTGCTCAGAGCCTGCCTGTCCCTGGGGTTGGCATGGCTCTGCATGAAGACCCTGTCTTGGACTTTTCCTGGCCATGTGCCACGTTTATCCTGTTACGTTTCTCTTCCGCTCCTCTCCCAGATACACCCCAAGGATTCCTTTCTGCTCACCCATTTTCTTGGCTGCCTTTGCTCCCCTTGGTAAATAAAGCATGTTATGTATTGGTTCCTCTGGTTTAGAAGGAGACCTCTGTTTTCTCAGCCCATTAGCAGAAATTTCCAGAAAGGGATTGGCATGTTTGGCTTGAGCTTGGCTCACGGGTTGAAGGTGGGGTCCCATGGACCTGAAGAAAGATCTTGTTCTAGCAGAGTTAGGTATTTGTCCGGAAGCCTACCTTGAGCAGCTCAGTGAGTTCTGAGGCTTTTCGGAAAGAAAAACGGGAGGGTGGAAGGTTTGGAGATCAGATTCTCAGCGAGGCTTACCCCCACCAGGCAGCAATTGATTACTGCTGCATAGTGCTGGGGCTGGGTCACTGATACTCACGTTCAGTGCCTGCTGAATGTGTGAACCTATCAACGAGACTAGCACTAGTTTTCAGCCCCGGTGTCTGAGTCACATCCTGCACCTTGGGGCAGAAACGGACCCCATAAGAACTATGGTAGGGAAACTCCCCAAGTCTTTTGAGCTAAGGGATGGGCAGAAGGGCTCGGTAGCCCAAACAAAGTAGCTGTCGCAGTGAGGCTCTCCCGCAGATGTAAACGAGTGTCGGAGGCCATTGGAGAGGCGAGTCTGTCACCATTCCTGCCACAACACCGTGGGCAGCTTCCTATGCACATGCCGACCTGGCTTCAGGCTCCGGGCTGACCGTGTGTCTTGCGAAGGTGAGCGCCAGGGCCCTCCTTCTCGGCAGCTGGCCACGCCCTATCAATGCCTGCCCCGCCCCGCCCCGCCCTGCCCCGCCCCATCAGAGCATGGCCCCGCCCCGTTCACGCCCTCCCGGCACCCAGCCACGCTCTATCGGCACGTGGCCCCGCCCTGCCCCGGCCTCGCCCACCTGCCACCCGGCCCCCTTCTTTCTGTTTGCTCGTTTTCAGTTCATCTTGTTTGTTAATTCCAACACTCCACTTTCTTCCTCACTTTCCTTTTCCACTTCATTATCGTTTTTTCCTCTTTCACTTTTTTCCCAGCCTTTTTTTTTTTTCTCCAAATGATAAAAGGAAAAAACCCAACAGGAGTCTGAGTAACCTGGACTGCAGGGACCGATATTTCCGTGGTTCACCCTGCTGCACAGCGACAGTGTGCCTGTAAACATAGTAGAATGTTGCGCAGACCACGAGGGCGAACAGGGACTTGTGGTGGAGCTGAGCCCAGGTCTTCCTAAGCCCCAGCTCTGCTGCCCATCCCAAGAGACCTCCGTGCTTCTGTTTCAGCTTTCCCGAAAGCCGTGCTGGCCTCATCTGTCATCTTGCAGCCCCAGCAACATCCCCCCAAGATGCTCCTGTTGCTTCCAGAGGCCGCCCGGCCTGCCCTGTCCCCAGAACATATCCCTTCTTCGGGGGCTCCAGGGCCCCCAGCTGGAGTCAGGACCACACGCCTGCCATCTCGCACCCCACCACTACCCACATTCTCCCCTTCTGCCCCTTTGTGGCTGCTGTCCACTCTGATGGCCACCCCAGTGCCTACTGCCGCCTTGCTGGGGAACCTCAGGCCCCCCTCACTCTTTCAGGAGGAGGTGATGGGGACCTCTTCCTCACCCAGGGGCCCTGAGGCCCCCCGGCTGGCAGCAGGGCCCTCTCCCTGCTGGCACCTGGAAGCCACGCATGAATCAGGGAGTCACTGGACAGAGCCTGGGTGTTCCCAGTGCTGGTGCGAGGTGGGTACTAGGGGTCCCCGGAACTTCCTTGGTCTGGAGTCTGGGGCCTTGTAGTGGCTGTAACTCCTGCTTGTGCTTCTAGGATGGGGAGGTGACCTGTGAAAAGGTGAAGTGTGAAGCTGCTTGTTCCCACCCAATTCCCTCCAAAGATGAGGGGTGCTGCCCATTGTGCACAGGTGAGTGCTGGTGCCAGCGAAGAACATAGTCCTGCCCCTTCTTTTCTCTGTGCCGTCCTGCAGCCAAAGGGCTGTTCTTTAACATTAGCTTACATTAGAATCTCCTGGAGGGCTGGCTGGGTGCAGTAGCTCATGCCGGTAATCCCAGCACTTTGGGAGGCCGAGGCGGGTGGATAACCTGAGGTCCAGAGTTCGAGACCAGCCTGACCAATGTGGAGAAACCCCACCTCTACTAAAAATACAAAATTAGCTGGGCATGGTGGCATATGCCTCTAATCTTAGCTACTCAGGAGGCTGAGGCAAGAGAATCACTTGAACCCTGGAGGCGGAGGTTGCAGTGAGCCGTAGATGGCACCATTGCAGTCCAGCCTGGGCAACAAGAGTGAAACTCTGTCTCAAAAAAAAAAAAAAAAATCTCCTTGAGGGCTTACTAAGCCACAGTTCCCTTGGCACTGCCCCCAGAGCTTCTGATTCAGCAGGTCTAGTATAGGGTCAGAACATGTGCATTTCCAGTAGGTTCCCAGGTGATACTGACGTGGCTGGTCTAGGGACCACACTTTGAGAATCACTCATCTATGCTGTAATAGCCATCAAGGGCAACTTTTCATTTTCTGGGCATCCATTTTCAGCTTCATTCATTCATTCATTTATTCAGTCATTTAATGAGCCTCTTTAAATCCACTGTGCAGCCCCCTTCTCCTGCCCTAGTTCCCCTCTTACAGGCGGAGGAGTCATTGTTTCTATTTTTTTTTTTTTTTTTGAGATGGAGTCTCACTCTGTCACCAGGCTAGAGTGCAGTGGCTTGATCTTGGCTCACTGCAACCTCCATCTCCTGGGTTCAAGTGATTCTCCTGCCTCAGCCTCTTAAGTAGCTGGGACTACAGGTGCGTGCCACCATGCCCAGCTAATTTTTGTACTTTTAGTAGAGACAGGGTTTCACCACGTTGGCCAGGGTGGTCTCGATCTCTTGACCTCATGATCTACCTGCCTCAGCTTCCCAAAGTGCTGGGATTACAGGTGTGAGCCATTGTGCCCAACCCCATTCTTTCTAAATTCTGTCCCCTTTTTGACTCCTTCCTATCTGCTGACAGTTTTTCATTTGCTTCCTATTGTTGGAAGGATAGAGACCCAAATTCTTCACAGTTCCTGGCGGAGTTTCTTGAAACTTGCTCTGCACTTGAATCAAGGGGACCCTTATTAAAATGCTGATTCTTGGCTGGGCATGCTGGCTCAAGCCTGTAATTCGAGCACTTTGGGAGAACGAGGTGGGTGGATCACTTGGGCCCAGGTGTTTGAGACTAGCTTGGCCGATATAGGGAGGCCCTGTGTCTACAAAAAATTAGCCAGAGATGGTGGCATGTACTGTAATCCCACCTGCCTGGGAGACTGAGGTGGGAGGATCACCTGAGTCCAGGAGGTTGAGGCTGCAGTGAGCCATAATTGTGCCACTGCACTCCAGCCTGGGTGACAGAGTGAGACCCTGTCTCAAAAAAAAAAAAAAGCAGATTTTCATTCAGTCGGTCTGGGAGGGGATTCTTTGTCTGGTGCTCTTGGTGATATGACACTGAGATTGTTGGATATTGACCAGCAGTTAAAAAGCCTTCCTAAGGATTAAAATGGAAATGCACTGCTTTTTTTGTTTGTTTTTGGTGTTTTTGTTGTTTTTGGTGGAGTCTTGCTCTGTCACCCAGGCTGAAGTGCAGTGGTGTGATCTTGGCTCACAACAATCTCTGCCTCCCAGGCTCAAGCAATCCTCCCTCGTAGCTGGGATTATAGGCGCCTGCCACCACACCCGGCTACTTTTTGTGTTTTTTTTTTTTTTTTTTTTTTTTTTTTTTAATTAGCAATGGGGTTTCACCATGTTGGCCAGTCTGGTCTCAAACTTCTGACCTCAAGTAATCCACCCTCCTCAGCTTCCCAAAGTGCTGGGATTACAGGCGTGAGCCGCCGTGTCTGGCCTGGTTTTCTTAATAACTATCGTGGGCTATGTCCCTGCTACATGCTGAGTCCTGAGTGCAAAGAATTGGGGACTTTATTGCTGAGGTTTTGGATCCTTCCAAGTTCCCTGCAAGGTACATGGTGATATTTCCATTTTGCAGTGAAAATGGCTGCGTACCAGAGAGGTGAAGTGACATGTCCAGGACCACTCTGGTAAACTGAGCTGGCAGGCCAGGTTTTGAGCCCTTTCCTGCCCTCTGGGAGTAAAATGCTGTGCCCTCCAGACACTTGTGGGTTTGTGAGACATGAATGGATCCTCCTGGGGCCACCATGGCTGATTCTTGCAGGACCACACAGTCAGAGTACCCCAAATCTGCCACGCCTGGCGCACCTAGGGCAGTGAGAGAACGTTCCAGGTACATTAAGCCTGGAGAAGCAGTGAGACCTCAAGCTTCCTCTCCTTTGAAGAGGTCTGATGGCTCTACCTCCTATTTGTCTCTCAAAGGCTGTTTTCACAGAGGTGTCTTCCGAGCTGAAGGGGACGTGTTTTCACCTCCCAATGAGAACTGCACCGTGTGTGTCTGTCTGGTAAGCATCACAAGATCCTCAAAGCCTCGTGGGTGTTTTCTTAACTTTTGGGGGTTTTAGAGGCAGCAGAAAAGATCAGATGTTAAAGATAAGCTTGCCGAGTGGAAGGGAACGTTCTCAGGTTGTGAAATTTGGTCAGAAGCTGCAGAATTTAAAAGGGGGTGGGAATTATACAACACAAGGTTGGTGGAGTCAGGGAGGCTTCTGCTCTGCAGAAGGCAACCAGCTGGCACGCAGGGTCTGTCTGTGTAGGAAGGGGAGGGGATGAAACTCCTCAGAAACTTCCCACCAGGCAGGCTGTTTTTCTCTCCAGGCAAATGAAGGTCTCCTCATTTGGGAGGAAGAAGGCTCATTACCAAACTCAGCTTGTTAAAAGTGTTTGACTTTGGGCAAATTCACTCCTCCAAGAATAGTTATGAAGCACCTCTTGTGTGCCCACCCTGCCAGATGCTGTCCCATGTATTTGATTGGGAGCACCTACTGAGCGCCAGGCCCGGGGGTTGGTACTTTTCATCTCCTTCCTTGCCAAGGCTCCCGGCAGCTCCTTGGGGTCAGCTTTACTGCCCCTATTTTGCAGAGGAAAAGACAGAGCCTGGGAGGTGGCACAGCTGGGATTTGAGGTCTGTCTGAGCCCAAAGTCAGGGCTCTGTCTACCAGCCCTCACTGCTACCCTCTGACCATCTTTATTTTTTATTTTAGAGACAAGGTGTTGCTCTTTCGCCCAGGATGGAGAACAGTGGTGCAATTATAGCTCACTGTAGCCTCGAATTCCTGGGCTCAAGCAATCTTCCCACCTCAGTCTTCAAGTAGCTGAGACCACAGGCACATGCCATTACACCCAGCTAATTTTTGTTTTTTTTTTTTTTTTTTTTGGGGGACGGTGTTTCGCTCTTGTTACCCAGGCTGGAGTGCAATGGCGCGATCTCGGCTCACCGCAACCTCCGCCTCCTGGGTTCAGGCAATTCTCCTGCCTCAGCTTCCTGAGTAGCTGGGATTACAGGCACGCACCACCATGCCCAGCTAATTTTTTGTATTTTTAGTAGAGACGGGGTTTCACCGTGTTGACCAGGATGGTCTCGATCTCTTGACCTCGTGATCCGCCCGCCTCGGCCTCCCAAAGTGCTGGGATTACAGGCTTGAGCCACCGCGCCCGGCCTTT